TTATTAAATTATAAAAATTTGTTAAAATGTATATTTTCCATTAATGCACACCCTCTCTAAATGCACTCTTTTACTCAATCCTAAAGGAGTGCATATAGAGAGGTCTGACTGTATATATAATATTGATTTTTATTGATTTTTATAATTTTTAAAAGCTAATTTCTCTATAACTACTGATTTAATTTTTATAATTTTTGAAATGCAAACTCTTAATATGAAAATAAATATTTATTTTTATTGTTATTAATCTAAATAAAATATTAAAAATTCATTATTTTGTAAATCAAGCTATTTATATAAAATTACACTATAAATTAAGCAAAAAAATTATTTTAAAATAATGTTAGAAATTTAAGATTTAAAACAAATATAAATTTGTAATGCTAGCTTTTATAATTTATATTTTAAATTTAATTTGAAAGTGATACAATACTTTTGATTATCACTATATATCTTAAACTAGAATAATAATAAAAAGCGAATTTTAATTTAGTATTATTAGATATAGCAGTTATTAGTTCTTGATAATTTAATGAATCAATTAGTCTTTAAATTTGACAATATTTTCGAATAAAAAGGTGGAATTTATAAGTATATCTTTACTATTAATACAAAACTTTCTGTTTTTAATAAAAATTTTTAACAAATAAATAAATCACTCTTTTTTTTAGAATAAAATAAGCAGATTATACTATATATTTTGAATTATATATTCTTTTAAATTTTAATAAAAAATATCAAGAGCTTGAGTGTTAAATCTTTCTAATATAATAAGAAAGTTTATAAGTTCTTTATTTATTTAATATTTTGCTTACCTTTATTATTATCTTTATAAATGATAGCTTAAACTATTATCTTATAAAGTCTTTTAAATACAGATTTTTCATTAAATACATTATGAATAGCTTTATCTGCTAATGTAATTCATATATTTGTATGATCATCATCTTTAATAATAGACTAAATTTTATAGAGATCTTGATTTTGCAAATATTTTTTAAAAAATTAGTTTCAAAATAAAATTTTAATGCAAATTTAAAATTCTAAGATGCTGCTTTTAGGACAGTAAGATGATTTTCTAATAAATTATTATATTTTAATGCTAAACATTTATTATAAATCCTTTTTTCAGAATAATTAGTATATGTTTTAGCGTATATTATAACACTTATTATTTAAAAAGAAAAGATTTTTATCAAACAAGTAAATTTTTAATTTTTTTCACTCTCAAAAAAATATAGATTCTTTATTAGATTTTGTATAAATATTTAATTTAATACACATTTTGTAATGTTATAAGTTTTTTTCTTGTAAATTCATAAGAAAATTTATTTGAAAATATTTCTTTAGTGATTATTTCAATATAATAAGCTTCACTATAACTTATTAGTATTCTATTAATATAATTTGTAATTAAATCTAAATAAAATCCTAATTTTTCCTTTCTTTTGTTAGATATTTGATTAATATATATTAGATTAATTATTATATTATTATTTTTTTTATTAATTTCATTTTCAGTTTTATCTACTATAATAATATTATCATCATTCATTGTATCTTCTATTTTATTCTTCCAATTATTTCAGTTATCATCTGAATTTTTATCATCTATATTATTATTTTTATTTGTTATTGATTTACAAAAATATAAAATACTTCATTGTCTATATTCTTTTATATTCTGAACTATTTATATGATAACTAATATAATTTTTATCATATTTTCTATTAAGTTTTATTACTATTTTATATATACAAATAACTTTTTTAGCATATACAACTTTAGCAATATTTATAACTATTCTAATCAACTATAATATATATATTTATCTAAAATATGTATATATTATATAAAGATAGTTTTATATAAAGATATAAACTGTATATGAATATAAAAAAAACAAAGAATTAAATGCACAAAAAAAATTTTAGAAAATTAAAAATTAAATAATAATTATAATTACTAAATTAGAAATTTTGCTATGTAAACTTATATCTGAATTTAGTTAAATCTTTGCTTAATTATATATTTAAAAATGTGACTATATTAAAAAAATTTTTTCAATTAAGCAAAATAAAATATAACTTAAAAATTTTTTTATATGATAACAAGCAAATTTTTTTTTGTTACTTATATTTGTATTATTTAAAAGTCTTTATTAAATATTAAAATATTATAATTTTTCTATAATATTTTATAACTAATTTATTCTTATACTTTAAGTGATAATATATTAACTATACTAACTTTACTAATTATACTAATTACTAATTCTAATTATAGTTACTTTAAAATTTAACAATATAAATCACTATTTATATTATAAATTCAGAATATATTATTTTAACAGATATAAAATATTTTAAATTATAATATTATTTTATTTAACTTTGATTATTAGTTTAACATAATTATTATATAATGATTTTTTGATTTTTCAATAATATTTTCTATCATCTAACTTATAAATTATAAATTTTGATTTATTTAAACCAAATAATTTATTTTAATTCTCTGTTTTTATAATAATATTTTTTTTTATAAATTTTATATAAATAATTCTATGTATTTTTGAAAAAATTTAGTTATAAATTCATGTTATAAATAATAAAATAGAGCCTTTTGAATAGAAAAAAACTGTCAGAAAAAATCAATTCTAAATTTATATATTAAATATAATTTTAGATCAAAATATATTCAAATTTAATATAACTTATTTTTTATTTTCTGATAATTTTCCTTATAAAGATTTAATATAACATTTTTAATTTTATTAGAGATAATATTTTGTAATATATAAAAAATAAATAATTTGATAATTTATTTATTAAGTTAATTAACTAATATTATAATGTTATATTTTATTAAATAATAAATTTATTTTTTATCAAGTAAAATTTATTGGTTAATACTTAATAAAAAGAAACTTTTAGTTTTTAAAAAATTACAATAATTATACTTAAAAATTTTATTTTTTTTTAATTTAAATTTTTAGAAATGTTAATTAAATTGAAATTTTTTGCAATTCTTCTGGTTTATGATATTTATTTGTAAAAAAAAATTTCATGTTTAATTGGTCCGGAACGAAGTGAAGGACTATATATTTCTATGCAAAGTGTCCCGACGTCCGCCCGCTCAATAATTGATTGAGTCGATGCTGAGTCTAGATAAATTTCCGGACTTAACAACGGTCACCGTTCCCTAATTATATATTAGTTTCTGAAATTAATGTTATTTTTCAAAACCACAAATTTTTGTCCGGAGATCGGAATTGTTCTATAAATGATTGGTTTTTTATAGTCACCAAAAAAGGTCATGATTTTCAATTAGTAATGCATTACGAAGAGAATCTTATTGAAGATTAGCGGCTTATAGAAAATTGTTTTTCTTAAAATTGCCAAATTAGAACGTCTATTCAAAAAATATATTTTTAGTTGTATTTAACTTGATTAAATTAGACGTGGCGACAATGCATACCAAATGATCTTAAATAGGAAACGAAACAAAGAATGCCTCATACATCATTATCGTTCATTCATTTTTTAGAAATCTTTTAAAGAAATAATTCAAATAGATAGACTTGTTCCTTGTACACAGAACGTTTCTGTGGAATATTTTCATTAAAAATTTTTATTATATATACACAACACCGACCGTTATTTAGTAAATAAAAAAAAAATGCAGAACAAAATCGAAAAGGTCGAGGGGGTGGTTGTTACAAGTTTTAAAGCACTAAATGGAGTTAACGGACTTATAGAAACATATTCTGCTGGTGGCAGTTTGGCTTCAAAATTTGCTAAAACAATGGAATGTGTAAACGAGGTAGTTGCGCCTTTCATACCTCTGGTAACTACGATAACCACATTAACGAAAGAAATAGCAAATGCATATGAGAATGTTCAATATAATAAAAAACTTGTGGAATATTGGTTAACCGAGTTGAAGCTGCGGAAGCTGCTATCAAAGGTTAATGAGAGAAAAAGAAGAGAATATATATAAGTTTCGTAGTCAAGGTTATTATCAATCTTTTCAAAAATTTGTAGTTTGTTTAGAAAAGATTAAAGAATTTTGTTATGATATTTCTCAATTATCAAAATTAAAAAAATTTTTTACCAGTGGGAATATCAAAGAAAGTTTTCAAGAAATTATTAAAGAATTTGATGGTTGTTTAATTGATTTGAATTTGGCAATTTCAATTACTTCAAATGAAAAAATGTGTAGATATTTGACGATCTTACATTGTGATATGATTGAAATGAATAAATTTTTAAATGACATTGGTATTACATCTAAAAACAAAGAGGTCATCGATGACAATACCAAAACCCATCAAGAAATTATTTCTAGAATAACTAACGTTGAAGAACAAAATAAGATAATTATTGATAAAATCCTAGAGAACGAGAAATCATTTGATTTCTCATCAGTCATTGAAGAAATTAATAAAATTAATGAACAAGTAAATAACCAAAGTTCAACAATTGAAAGAGTAAGACGAATACCTCCTCAAGAGTTACATGGCCCACCACAATATGTTACACGTAAGGGTAATAGGGAAATAATCCGGAAAAAAATTTATAAAGCAATGGATGTTGCTTGTAAACCTATTCTAACGAGTAAAATCCAAAATCAAATCAATATTTTAGGACAATTGAATATTTGCCCTTACATTATTCAATTTCTTGGCCTATCAAAGATTGTTGACAATAATGTAATGGTTTTTGAGTGGGCGGAATACGGAACATTAAAAGAGGTTTATCTCTGTGAAATTGGATGGGTTACGAAGATCTCTCTTGCTAGAGATATCTGTCGTGGCTTAGCATTTTTACATAGTGTGAATATACTTCACCACGACTTAAAGTGTGAAAATATTTTGATAAAGGAAAATATGCAACCTAAAATTTCCAATTTCAATTTTGCACGTGAATTTAACGCTGTCATTTTGACGACATAAATGATATAGTACATTGGTTGGCTCCTGAAAAATTAAAATGTATTCCTGCTGAACCAAATTTTGAAGGCAATAAAAAACCCGAAGTTAGATATTCTATTTAATGTGAAATTTTAGTTTTGGAATGCTTCTTTGGGAACTTGGTTTTCAAAAAAAGCCATATGAAAAAATGAACATATCAGAAATTCAAAAACATGTTTCAGATGGGGGCAGAGAAGAATTGGATTTTGGATCATGCTCAAACTCTATTCAAAAAGGATATTACTCCATTATTAAAATTGCTTGGGTACAAGAACCATCATTACTTCCAGGAATTCAAAATCTTTTTAATATGTTACAGGAATTATATGTAGCAAATAATGGTTTGTCGCCGTTAAAATCAATCACAAGTAAAATAGTTAAAGAATCAAATGATATTTCAAAACCTGACATTCACCATTATGGCTCTTACCCATTATCAATTCCTTTTGATGAAGGTTTAAAGGTTCATGAAGCCGAAGATTATGAAAGAGCTTGGAAATGTTTTGAAGAGCATGCAAACAATGGGCATGTATTGGCAAAATTCAAGCAAGGCTTTTATTATTTAAAAGGGTATTATGTTGAAAAAGACAAGGTAAAAGCTAAGAATTATTTAAGGAAGCGGCGGACGGTGGAAGTGAAGAAGCTCAATTAAGATATGCTCTTTGTTTACTTAAGAAAAATAAAGCTCTTACTAATACTGACGAATTTATAAAGTATTTAACGATGTCGGCGGATAAAGGTAATGCTAATGCTCTTTATAATTTGGTGTTACATTTTTCCTTGGTAAACTTGGCGTTGAAAGGAATGAAAAAATGGGCACACAATATTTAAAATCAGCAGCCTTGAATGATCATAATAAGGCTATAGAAATTTTAAAAAATAATAATATAAGTTTTTAAGTATTTTCCCTACTGCGTACTTTTCAACTGTGTACTAATGCTGCGCCACGAGATATCATTATTACTTTTCCCTTTTTCCATACTTTACTTGTATTATTTATTAATTTTATCTTTATCTATATAACGAATTTTTAATTTAAGGAATTTGTTATAAATAAATACGGAGTTTCAACAATAATGTAGTATAAGTCATTTAATAAATAAATAAAATCCTAATTTTAAAATCAAAATCATAATCAACTACAACAACACGTGAATTGTTAAACCTTTTTTATAATTTCTTTGATTTTTTAATTTTATTAGTTGATTTAAATAAGATTTGGAACAAAATAATATTTAAACTATTAGAGTGGAAGTACATCATATAAAACATGTAATAAAGTCCTGAAATTGAATACTCAACTTGTTGCCGAGAGGTTATTAACAAGTATTAATGCAATAAAGGTTTGTCACGACATTCAAATGCAGTTTGATATTGAATGCAAGGAATGACCAATATATGCGATCGGTAATTACAGAATTAATTTAATAAAACTTTTAAATATATAAGAAAATTTTCTATTCCAGATGATTTTATTATAAATTGTGTTCAAGCTATATACTGTAGATAGAAAAAAATTTTTAATTTATAATGTAAATAAATGCGCTCACTTCCTTACAACTTTCAAAACAATTAATCTAGATAACAACTACTAATTCTATACTAATTCTATACTAAATCTACCCAATTTAACCAACTCTGGAACAACCTAACCCGCTTAGTCTAATATTTTAAACCATAGAACTTTCGGACCCAACCCTATCCTCACGCTGAATTCTAAATCATTTAACCTAGAAGCTTATTAAAAACATTATCTGATATAGTAAGTGTCAGTAATAATGAATGTGGGAAAGCTAAAGCGTAAAAGTTGTCAGTCAACTGGTCGGTAGTTTTAACCACGATCTACTCCCGACCGTTAGTATTCCTATAAACAATAGTATATACTTATTATAAACTAAGGTTCTAGATCTAAATTTCTATTCAAAATATTTCGTGAAATCTAGTTCATCACTTTCATCGCTACCTAATGTAAAGCAATTAGTTGTTTTAATGTATATAAATTTAAGATGGAGTTTAAGAAGAATAATTATACTTACTTGTTGATATATGAGCCGTTCTTGGAATATTGTATAATTCAGTATTTAAAGTTTCATGATTGATAGTTAAAGTTATTTAGGTATCAACAACGGATTTAATGGCAGGTCGTTCGCTTGGTTCCTCTGCCCAACATTGCTTATAAAGATTTGAATAAGTATTATAGCTTTCCGAAGTTCCCAAAGTTGAAGGTTTGGGACGATTTCCACGTAATATATGAAGTATCAAATTATAATCAGGGATACCTTCAAAAGGTTCTTTACCCGTGGATATTTCCCAAAAAATGATACCCAAGCTATAAATATCTGATCGTAAATCTTTTTTATACACTCCCGACTTGTCTAAATATTTAGGATCTATAAATGATATTGTACCGAAAACTTTGGTAATATCATTCGCATTTTCATCCATTGATATGACTCCACCAAATCTATAATTTTTCTTCAAATTCAGGTTTGCGACAATAGGAATCCCTATGTATTTGATTGATAACTATATTATTAGTGTGCTTACTTTGCAAGAGAATAGATTAGAAATTGAATATAATAAATATAATAACGGAATTTAAGGAAGTGTATTATTTACCAAGTCACGATGAGCAATGTTACATAAATGTAAATAATTAAGTCCTTTTGCTATATCCAAAAAGAGTTTTAATTTGATAGCCCATATATATATATTATCCGATAAAGTTTAATTTCTTCTTGCAAAAACGTTCTTAGGCTGTTTAGGTTGGCATATTCCATTACCATTATAAAACTTCCTGGATTCTCTGTCAAAAAAAAAAATTATCCTGAATATGTGCATTATGTTAATTGCTATAATTATTTGTCTGCCAAGAGTATAATATACTACCTCGCGTTTGAGTTAGTCCTAAAAATCTTATAATGCAGAGGGTTATCATAAGTTTCTGAACGTGACTTTTAGAACGCGATTACTATACAAAAAAGGTAATGTTTATTATACAAATATGGGTTGTTTTTGTTTATTTGTCTTAAAAAACATTTCTAACTTCATTTTTTCTTTCTCACTTTATTTTTTTTTTACAAATTGTGGTTACAACTGCAACAATGGGAAAAAATAACAAATTGACTGCGGAACAACGAGGTGCCATATTTTATCTTTGTAAAAATAGCAATTCGTATAATCAGATTGCAGAAACTGTTAGATGTGGCAAAACAACAGTTTATGATACATTAAAAAGGCATGTTGAAACTGGATTTATTGATTCTAAGCTTCGTCTCAGATGACCGCACCTGATCGATATTATGAATCGCAATTGGCTTAAACGTTTAGTAACAAACGAAAAAGCACAAAATTGACAATTATGTGCTACTGGAATAAAAGAACTATGGAAAAAAAACAAGACAGAATGTTTTAGAAATTACTATTAGTCGCACCCTTCATTCACTTAGACTAAGAAGTTGTGTTGCATGATGAAAACCTTTCATTTCACCAGCAAATAAAGAGGCATGACTTGCATGGTGTTTAGAACATGAAAGTTGGACAAAAAATGATTGGACAAAAGTATTATGGAGTGATGAATCGACCTTTACTCAATTTTAGCAAAGTCATACTAGCAAAGTATGAAGAGAACCAGAAGATGAATGGTCACTTTCTTGTGTTTCAGCCACAGTTAAACATAGCCTAAGTCACATGTTTTGGGGTTGTTTTTCACGAAAAGGGATAGGACTGATTGTACCACTTTATAAATCAGCAACTGGAGCTACTCATATTGAAATACTGTGAAAATATGCTTTACCTACAATGAAACGCATGTTTTCAAGAAACAATAGTTTGTTTCAAGAAGATAATACTAGACCCCACAAAATAAAGGTTGCATCATCATTTTATGCAGAAAAAAATCTGCACATTCTTTCTTGGTCCACTCAAAGCCCAGACCTTAATCCAATTAAAAATTTATGGGCTGAAGTAAAAAGAAAATTAGAAATAAAAAGAAAAAGCCAACCAACCTTGCTGAACTTGAAAGGAATGTTAAAAATGCATGGAAAGCAATTCTGAAATGTCTGATCAAAAATTTAGTCGATAGAGCATAGCGGGCTTAAGCCTGATTGGTTGATTTTTAAAATGATCATCACATATTAAATTCATATAAAAAAGATGATC